ACTCGCTGCAAAGGCCTGCTGGCTGAGAAAAAGGTCAGGGCTACATTTTATACATTCTATTTCTTAGAGAACATATATTAAAATATATATTACTTAGTATATTGTGGGAATCATTAAAATCAGAAGGTTTTTGGAAAGCTGCTCCTGAGTGAGGAGGATTTCCAGCCTAGAGGAATATAAAAATAAAAAAGAAGAGCATGGACAGTGCCATTTCCAGAGGCCCAGGCTGTTTAAAGGAGGAATGGATCGTCCCCTTTGCTGCCTGTAGCTGATACCCCTGTCAGTAATAAGTAGCAACTCTGGGGGCTCCTGGGCAACGAAATGGGAAACCATCTCTCTAAAACAGTATGGGACGTCTTTTACCACCTTGAGGCAATTTTAGAGCGTAAAGGCTGTTCAGACATCTCAAAACGTGAACTAAAAGACTTATTTTTCTGGGTAAAAGCAAATACTCAAAATATAGACTTGAAGTCTGATTTTACCTTTGATTTCGGAGACGAAATAAACTGGATAATTGACAATCTAGTCTCTCTCAGAAAGGAAGAGAATTTGGTCCAACTAATGCCTGAATCCAGAGCTTTAATGGAGAGCTTTGAACAGAATGATTGTAACAGAGGCTTTCTCGAACATCAGAACAGAACACCTGGCTCTGAGACTTTAATTCCGAGTGGTGCTGGGCCTTCATCCTCCTCTGGGGGGATCTCAGGTTTTGTTCAGGGTTCCTTCCCTTCTCCTGGTGTGTCCAGAGTTTCTCCAGGCAGTGTGGACAGCACCTCGATCCCTGGGAAAGGGGAATGAGATCAGCTTCCAGCTTTGGTCATGTCCTCTGTTTTTTCTGGGATTCCCAGCATCACAGGTGTTGAGACAGGCTGTCCTCCCGTTCCTCCATGAAATCATCCACCCCCGGAATTCCCAGGAAAGCATTTGGGATTTTTGTTGCATTCTGAGAATTTGGGGGGTAAGAGGTCATGTTCTGGGGAGGTTGGGAGTCAAACAAGTCCAGGAGATGAGAGTTTGGGGAAGCTTTGCAAAACAGGGGCTGCTGTTTCTGTGCCCTGCTCCTCTTCCAAAGAAGATGCGGCCGAATCTTGTCCTGAAATTGTGCAGGCAGGGTCAGCCAAGGGGGACTCTGGATCTGCTCTGCCTGGCCGAGGGGCTGCAGGGTCACCCCTGCCACTGTTTCCCCTTTCAAGACTCTTCTGGGATTTTTGCCGCTATTGGCTCCCAAGCCTCAGGTTACAGCAGGTGGGAGGGCTTTGGATTTGGCTCTGCCTGCAGGGGAGCGGGCAGGGAGGAGGACAGAGGTGGAGTGTGGTAGCCAGGGTGTGAGCAGGGCAGGGATGGCTCTGCCCAGAGAGGTGGACGGGGTGGAGGTGGGAGAGCTCAGGAAAGCTGCTGTGGAGACACAGGCAGTTCATTCAGGAGCCTTGAAGCCTGTCTCATTCTCTGCTGAGGAGGGAAAAGCATGCTGAGATTGCAGCTTGGACCTGAGAGTTTTCCAGCTGTATCCCTGCCGGCAGGGATGCAGTGTGGTACCTGTCACAGTCCATTGGAAAGCCTCACAAATACAAATTCCGGATCTGCGGCTGGAGAGCAGCCCGATTTGTATGAATCTAAAAAGATCCAATTTAGTGAATCCAGACGTGAGTTAGCAGGCTCTGGCTTTCTTCCTGTCACCAAGAACTTGGAGCTCTCCTCCCCAGCCCTTCCTGGCATGGCTTCTGGGAAAATTTGTTGCTGCGGCAACCCTACTGCCAAGAACTTGGAGCTTCTTGGCAGGGTTCCTGGGACAGCTGATGACAACATTACCTGTTCTTCTGGATCAAATAGATCCAGAAGTGATCAGGAGTGATGAAAGGGAAAAACAAAACACAGTCTAGACCAACGGTAAACCTTCCATTGCAACTACCTAATTGGTCCAATAGTATTCAAAATATAGAAAAAAATTTGGGTTCCAATAAACAACTCCTTGCCTTACCTGTAAGATATGCTTGTAATGATGTAAATCCACAATACGAAATTCTTTCTCACCATGAGATCAAAGAACTTATAGGAAGAATGTAAAAAATTTTTTATAACTTTCCCGATCAGCCTCCAACTGTAACACAGATGCTAACAGCTTGCACTAAGCTCACCTCTCCAAAACATCTTGCTAATGTGCAAGTCAATGCTTTTGGAAAGCAGATTGCAGATTCTTAAGAAAAGTTAGGAAAAACATTTGGACATAATTTGGGAAAGGCTTTGGGAGAAAATTTGGAACAAAAAATGGAAAAAGCTTGAAAAGGCCCTTGAAGCACAAACAAACATTTGGAAAAAATCTGTTGGTACTGTACAGCTGGACTCAGATAACAAGGCTTGTGGCTTTGCTTGTGGTAAAGCAGGACACATGAAAAGAGATTGTCCTACAATAGCAATCAAACCTAAACCACTTTCTATTTGCCCTCAATGTAGGAAAGGGAAGCCTCTTGCTAAGTACTGTCCTTCTCAATTTGACATCGATGGCAAAGCTTTGTCGTTAAACTCAAAAAAGAGCGCGGATTACCACCGCACCTCGACACAAGTAGTGACCTCCTTACAGTCAATTACCCAGTCAAATCAGTCAAATGGCATTGGTACCTCAGTCATTTATTCCTCAGTCATCCTTCCCTCAAATGGTCCCAGGTCAATACCCTCGTGTACAAGGTTTGAATTGGCCTCCTCAAAAATTGATACACCTTTTAAATACTTTCTGTTATGAAAGTATTTCTACTGGAATTATCAGGTGGATAATTCTGACAAGAGCTTCTGATTCTAGGCAGAGCTAGCAACAAAATTTTCAGACTTTCAGTTCTTCCAGCTGCTGTTTCAATAATTTGTAACAAAGAGCTAATATATTTATCTCCTGCATTTAATGTTCCTATAGTGACTCCACCAAAAACACCTCTAGCTATTGCATTTCTTCTACCCATGAGTACAGCCAAGCAAAACAACTTTCCAGAGAATTCAGTGCTGTGCGTGCCATTTGGAAGCTCAGGTCCTGAGGTCTTTTGGGTCCAATGTTTCGACCGCAACCAGGAAAAATTGACTTGCTGCCTGACTCACTGTGGTAAAACAGTTTACATTGCAGGCATGGCAGATACTGGTGCTGATGTCACTGTAATCTCTGACATGTTTTGGCCCAATGATTGGGATTTAGTAGCTCCTGCAGGTTCCCTCACAGGGATTGGAGGTGCTGCTGTATGTTGGCAAAGTGCATCCATGATTAACATTACAGGTCCTGAAGGAAAGGCAGCAACGGTGCGTCCTTTTGTTGTTCAGAAGCTTCTCACCGTCTGGGGGAGAGACGTCGTGTCCCAATGGGGAGCAGAGCTGGAGGTGGGCCTCTGATGGAAACCACATCAAAACCTGCCACTTGAAAGCTGAACTGGAAAATTGATCTTCCTATATGGATTGATCAATGGCATTTAACAGAGAAAATATTAAATAGCTTTAAAAGATTGGTAAAGGAGCAATTAGAAGAAGGTCACATCACTCCCATACATACTCCCTGGAATTCACCAGTATTCTTCATCCACAAGAAGATATTAGATTTCTGGAGGTTGCCTTATGACCTGAGGAAGATTAATGAAGTGATGGAAGACATGAGACCTCTTCAACCTTGACTTCCTTCTTTATCAATGATCCCAAAACACTGGCCTCTCATTGTCATTGATTTAAAGCATTATTTTTTCCACATCCCACCTCATCCCGATCATACTCCAAGATTTGCCTTTTCAGTTCCTGTCATCAATCAAAGAGAACCCATGCAGAGGTAGCACTGGAAATTATTGCCTCTAAAAATGAAGAATTCGCCTCTAATTTGCCAATATATTACAGCACAAGTTTTGTCTCCAGTTCGACTGAAGTATCCAAGATCCATGATTTCACACTGCATGGATGATTTGCTCATCGCAGCTCCAACGAAGCCACAGATGGAGCAAGCTTGTCCTAGCGTTGTTACTGAAATCCAAAATGCTGGACCTAAAATTTCTACAACAAAATCCAAGAAGTTTTTAGTTAAGAGATTAGAAAGGTCAGTTTTGAAGGATGTTAGTAATGACACTTTATACTGTTGGCTTTCATGTCTTTATACAACTTTGCAATATAGAACTAATCCATATTTTGTTTCTCAAATCAGGGCTAATTCTTTGCTTCCTGGATTTTTAGTGGAAAGAAACCGCGAGAGTGGAAAAAGTGACAGTGGTTATTTCAAACACTTTGCCAAACATTTTGGAACAAGCAAAACTGAGTCACGCCTTTCTTCACCAAAATGTCCAAGCACTTGTGTGAATGTTTCCAATTTCCAAAACTCAAGCTAAGGGTATCATCAGTGCTTGCCCTGACTGTCAGCTTGTGCAGCCTCCTGTTTCGACAGGAGCGGTCAACGCACAAGGTTTGCAAAGCCTGCAGTTATGGCAAACAGATATCATTAAATAGCCTTCCTTTGGTAAATTTAAAAGTATTCATGTTTCAGTGGACATATTCTCTGGTGCAATTTTTGCTTCTCTTCACACAGGTGAAACAGGTAATCATGTCTGTCAACATTCTTTGCAAGCTTTTCCTTCATTGGTCTGCCCCAAGAAGTAAAAACCAACAATGATCCCACATACATATCCCAAAGAAAAGGCAACATTTCTAAAAGAATGGGCTGTTTGTCACATCTTTGGTACTCCTCACTCACCCTCAAGCCAAGCAATCGTTGAGAGGGCACATCAGACATTAAAACGTCATTTAGGTCAACAGACAGGGGGAGTTGAGGTCACACCACAGCTGAGGTTGAACAATGCTTTGTATGTTTTTAGTTGTTTAAGCAGTTCAATTTCAGAACCTGATTTACCAATTTTTAGGAATTTTTACAATAACACACAAGCAAAACTGAAAGAAAATCCTCCTGTTTTCATTAGAAACCCTGAGACTGGACCAATTGAAGGTCCTTTCCGATTAATCACCTGGGGTAAAAGGGTATGCTTCTGTCTCTACAGGTGCAGGAATTGTGTCCCAGCCAAAAACATCAAACCATATCGCACCCCAGAACGTGTTGACGAGTCCAAAACCGAGGAAGCAAGTACATGGACGTGAGCCGAACAGAGGGATCCCAGGGCACGCCTGACGTTCCTTGTGCATCGGTGGAACCTGCAAACTCTGATTTTGTGTTAATGCTATTTATAAGTGTGTCAATTGTATGTCAAATATTTGTTTCTTAGAGCTGATTTTTGGCAAAAGTGTGGGTTTTGTTTTTATTAGGTTATAGATCCCCTCTCTTGGATCTTCAAGGTGAAATCTTATCTTAAGGTCAAAAGCAAGTTTTTAAATTGATATATATGTGAGGATTTTGCCAAAACTTAGCTCATTAACAGGATGGAGCAAAATCAAATTATATGCTGGTGTTGCTGGGTTTTAATTGCTTCTTGTCGTGCGGATTTGCCTGTGTTTAACAACCAAAAACAAATGTTTGGGTGACCTTAGCCAATCCAGCAGGCTCGGATACCATATGTTTGTCTAATTGGGAACCAGAAAAGCCTTTTTCAACCTGTCTGGTTGGTGTGGCAGTAAAGGATTTGCCTTTGGTCAAAAAGCGATCCAAGGGTGAGCCAGGTGCAATTGACAATGGGAACAATCCTGCATTGAATTGGAACGTCTGGGCCAAAGAACTTCCCAAAGCCGTATCTGAACCCCAAGAACAGGAAATCCTTGGTTCTTTAACAATGGATTTTTGCCTTACCTTTACAGCTAATGATTGATGAGAAGGTGATCCTCCAAAGTACAATGTTACTCCCCATTATTTTGCGTACAGAAACTTAAGTTTTGTGTAACTATTCTAACAGTTGGGATGTGCTTTCTGAGGCTGACCAATATCCATGACAATTGCCCAAGGGATACTGGTTCATTTGTGGAGATAGGGCTTGGCAGGGCATTCCATTCCACCTTGAAGGTGGCCCATGTAGCATTGGGATGCTCACTGTAATTGCGCCTACTGCCAAAGCGGTCATTAAAAAGAAACAAAGGGGAAGAAGATCTGCTCGTCATTATGATGAGAACTGTAGAAGTGATTTCATGCCTTGGAAGGCTGCAAACAGGGTTTGTTTTTACCCCAACTGACTTCAGCAATGCATTGAAACTATTAGATCAGGTTGGATGTTGGCTGAGTAAGCAAACTAATGCCACATCCACTGCAATCAGTGACATGTTGACCGATGTTAATAGTGTTAGACATGCTACCCTTCAAAATAGAGCAGCAATTGATTTTAGTTTACTGGCACAAGGCCACGGTTGTGAGGAATTTGAAGGATTGTGTTGTATGAACCTGTCAGATCATTCTGAATCCACCCACAAAAGCATACAAAACCTGAAAGATTTGACAGCCCAAATTAAAGACGACGGTGGGTCCTGCTTAGATGATTTGTTCCAAGGATGGAGCTTTGCACCTTGGCTAAGGGAACTTTGCAAGATAGGTCTCTATGTATTGGGTGTTTTGGTAGTGATATTAATAGTAATACCTTGCGTATTTCAGTGTGTGTGACGAATGATGAACAAAACTGTCCAAAAAATTTTTATCATACAAGAGAGAGAGGTAGGAAATGGATTCACAGAGAGTTCTTGAAATCTCACGGAGATGGTGGATGAAGGTATAGAAATGGAGGAAGGTTTTGAGTTAAGACCCTGGAACAGACGAGACTTTTTTGGAACAATGACTTGTAACTATTGTCAGGCGTAATTTATGCCCTTTCCACTGACTGGACCTTCACAGCATTAGATTGCTGTCTTGTAATATAGCAATGCTTAGTTCCAGCAAGAACATGCTTTAAGCAGAGAATAAACAAAAAATATTATAGTAAGAGTACGAAATAAATGACAAGTCATGAATGACACGATTGGGAAGGTTTCTTTTTGGGTGCACAGAGAGGGGGAATTGTGGGAATCCTTAAAATTAGAGGGTTTTGAGAAAGCTGCAAAAGGCAGGCCTTAGATACAGCAGAATTGTGAGTAGAGCTAAAGCAACAGTCATGAGATAGGTCAGCAGAAAAATTTTTTAAACTGTAGAAAAAGCAAGGGCAAATCGAACAATAGGCCTGTGAAATAATGCTTGTCTGAATAGCTCTCTAAGCTGCAGAAAGTTTATCTAGCAAGATATTAGGAAGCTTAAAGCTTAAAAATGGAGCTCTTTGCCTTGTGTCTTACAATGAAGTATTGTATCCAAAATAAGCAAGCATTGTTTTAACCAAACATACGTGTGGTTATGGTGATTGGATAGAACTACTGTCAGTATGCTTTTGCTTTGTGTGATTGGTCAAGAAACTTACAAAAAAAGTTATAACATTATGGGTTTTGGCCTGCTGCCTGGATTTTGAGCTGCTAGCATCTTCCCATTAGCATAATCATGTAATGAACGAGACTGATGCTGAAAAATAAACAGCTCAAGGCACTTTCCATAGCAGCCCCGTCTCGTTCGCGTCTGTAAATAGCCCCCGGCCGGTGTCACCCTTCAGCATGCTCGGCATGACCTTGAACTCCATGGTGCTGTGCAACTGAAGCAGCAGGACAGGGACCTTTGCAGCCTGAGCTGCCCTTGTTCCTCTCTGCCCGTGCACAGAACACAGCGTGGAAGAGAAAGGCAGCAGGGCCCTGCGTGTCCCCATGCTCAGGATTTGTGCCACTTCAGCTCCATGGACACATGGGTAAAGTGACAAATGTAAACTGTTTATTAGGGAAGGCAAAGTGAAGGGTGAACTGGGAGGCAAACAAGGGGATAGGCAGGGCCTGGGGGCTGGAGGGAGGGAGGGGAGGGGGGGGGAGGGGGGGAGGGGGGGAGGGAGGGACATGACAACGCGCTCCTGGAGCTTCCCACAGGCTCAGCTGTGACCAGCAAGAGCTGTGCCTGGAGTTCCAGCTGGTCCCCTGTGTTCTGCAGGTGGTCTCATCTTCACTGGGAAATGGGGGTTGATGAAGGACACAGGTTCTTCTGGTCCTGCAGACCAAGTTCAGCAGCTCTTGCCTCGAAGTTCAGCTGGATAAATTTGTTGATGAAGGAGGGGCACTCATATTCCCTCAGGGCTTGAAGGGCTGGAAAAGAGAAGCACAGGGCCACGGTTAGAGGCCGGATTGCGGGAATCCAGGGAAACGCTCCTGCCAGGGCCATCCCAGCCAGCTCCGGCTATGGCCAGAAGGGAGGCGGAGACAAGGGCTTGGGCCGGAAGGTGCTGGCCTCGGTTCCCCCACGTGTGCCTGAAAGCTCTCCAGGCTCTGCCCCCGCCGCCCCTCGTCCGTCCGCACAGGGAGCAGAGCCCTCGGCAGCCCGGGCAGGGATTGTAACTGCGGAGCCGGGATTTGTAGCTGCCCCTGACGGCTCCCACTGGCACCCGTGCGGCTGCCCCCACTCACCCTGACTGAGGACCTGGAGCTCCTCCTTCTGCCCCATCATGAGCACTCCAGCGACCCCTGGTAAGACAGAGCCCGTGGCGGCGCCAGGAGGCACAGCTGCCCGACACAGGGGCTGCCAGCCCTGCAGCCGCACATACCCTCCAGGGGCATGGAGGGGCGCGGGGCTGCTGGCTCACCGATCAACCTGACGGCCGCCTGTCGCAGGCGCTTCTGTGGGCTCTGCAGGAAGGGCAGGGCCCAGCGCAGGTGCTCGGCCGCTCGGCTCTCATCGTCAAGCAGCTGCGGGGAGGACCGACGGGGAAGGCTTGATGCGGGCTTTGCCCTACGGCCGGGCGCTCCCTGCACCCAGCAGCTGCCGAGCCGGCCCGCACGGGCCAGGGCAGGGAGCGGCGTGTGGGGCACAGACTGGTGGGCTCGGCTGCGGTGCTGGGCAGGGGCACAGCTGCCAGCCCCAGCACGAGGGGCAGGAGGCTTCCCCAGCCCGCAGCTGGGGCTCCCTGGCTGTCCTTACCAGGCGCTCGGCGAACTTCATGCGCTGCTGCTTTGTCAGCAGCTCCTCCAGGTCCCTCCTCCTCTGGAAGCGGGCTGCACAAAGCAGGGCTTGGAAAGAGGCCTGGAGAGCAGCAGAGAGCCGCAGGTGGCACCAGAGCCCAGGGCACAGGACCTGCATGCCTGTGCCAAGGCCAGGGAAGGCCGGAGCCTGCAAGCTGCCAGGACAGGAGGCAGCCCAGCTCCTTGCCAGGGATGCAGCAGCGTCACACAAAACCTGACCTTTGCCACACGCCAGTTGTCATCATGCCAGTGCAAGAAGAGAGGGAGCAGGCTCTGGCTCACAATTCTCATGAGAGGCTTTTCCCTCTCTTCATCTACCAGCTCCATCACTTTGCTGAAGAGCCGAATGGAGAGCAGCTGCGCCTGGCTGTCATCCTGGAGGAAAGGAAGAGACCTCAGCACCAACTACTCCAGGCCCATCAGGGCAGAGGCCCAAAAGTGCACAAGGCACAACATTTCTGGGCAGCAACCAGTGCCCGTGGCTGGGGGCACAGAGCCTTACATTCTCCAAGTATGGCAGGAGCTGCTCGGCCAGCTTCAGGGCGGTGGCACTGGGTATCTTGATGTTTTCCATCTGGAGCATGTGTACAAGCACAGGCAGGATGATGGCGACCGTCGCTACATCTGCATGCGCCATCTGCTCCAACAGGTCTTGGCAGAGGCCGTGTATTCCTCCACCCTGTGTGCAAGAGCAGGCCATGCTGTGAAGCCGAGGACAGCCGCAGCACCAACAGCTGCTTGGGGCACTCGGGCAGCTGAAGTGAGAGGCAGGAGAGCTGGGAGCAGATGCCTCGGCTGCCAAAGGCCAGCCAAGGCCAAAGGTCTGCGTTGCCCAGCCCCACGCTGTCAACGTGGCTTCAGCCACTGCCCCTTCTCACCAGCGAGGGCTCCTTGCTGAGCTCCACGTGGCCTCTGAGCTCTGGGTGCAGCCTGTCCCTGCTCTCGCTTGGGAGGTGCCTGGCCACAGCCGACAGGGCACTGGCACTGTGCTTGTTCAAGTGCAGACCCTGCAGGGCAGTGACAGCCTCCGGCCTGCCCTCAGCCACTGCCCTGACTGAGTCTGCTGCACGCTCCGGGGAGGCCGAGGTGACATCAGGCTCTGCCCGCAGCTCGGCCATGCCCTCGGTTGTTGTGGCGCTGGTGTTTCT